TTTTGTTGTTGTTGTTTTGTTTGTTTTTTGGTTGGTTGGTTTGGTTTTTATTTTGTTGTTTTGTTTTGTTCTGTTGTTTTAGTTTTTGCTTGGTTGAAGTTTTTTAAATTTACCTTTTAGCCAGGATAATGCAGCAAACAGTATCTGTTATTCTACTGCTTCTCTCTGCATCCCCTGTAGTCCCTGTTGTGCCTGTCCCTCTTTGCAACTTTAAATGAAATGGCCTGTTAAGTGGTGAGTGGCTCTTGTTTATATGTCATCTCCTTGTTCCCACTAGTTCACTCAGGAAAACTTGGTTTAAAAAGAAAGCTCTTGTCATCTAAACAATATTGCTAAGATATTGAAAAAAGGCATTCTAGGTCAAGATAGTCTACTTCCACGTTTGCTGATTTCATCTATCTTTGTGCCAGACACTCTTTTAGAGACTTTCAAGAGAGCTTCAGTTTATTTTGACGGTTTTCCCCAGTTGGTGCTGTCTAGTGCAGCAGGCGCTGAAGTCACTGGAAGTCTGATCATTGACTTTCATGAGGGAAACCTCAGGATCTGAGCATTTGAGCTGGAGAGGGCACTTAGCAGTACTCAAGCAAAGATCTGACTAAGTCAACGGGAGTTTTGCCACCTTCCAAAAATGCAGGATGGCGCTCTGCCTTTGCCTTGCCCTCCCAAATGCTAAAGGGGGAAAGCAAAACAAACCAAAATCAACATGCTGTGCTCTGCTCAGACTACTTGAAAATGTTTCTCAACAACGTGTTTGCATCAAAACCTGTGGAGAAAATCAGTCCTATTAAATTGGAGATCCTGAAATCTACTTATCCCAGAGTCTCAATACCCACATTAATATGGACAAAACTGCTATGTGTTTTCACAGCCTATCATGTCCTATGTAAGTATATGATAGCACACTGGGGTTACAAAGTGGTGAGTTCTTATTACGAGCTCTTCCAACACAATCTTTAGGCTTTGTGTAAATCTTATATATAGGGAAAATTATGTGCCAGGTTAAACAAGATCCAGAACCTTCCTAGGCAAATGACATTTACATGCATATCAATACCTCAATATTAGCATCAGTAGAACATTCCTCCCCAGTGTACAGGACAAAGCAGCTGACAAGCAGAAAGGCACATCTCAATTACAGATAAATAATGATAAATGTGTTCATTTTTCTTAAGGGGAAAAAGGGGGAAAAAACCTAGGTGGTGGGAAAGCAGACGTTTGCCCTTCAGCGAATTAGAAGTAGGAAGTTTTGACCTTTGGAGGGTGGGTTTCATCGCCGGGCTCAGTGGGTGCTGCTGCCCGGGGTGGGCATGGGAAGTGTTGGGTGGGACAGCAGGGACACGGATCCAGCACCAAAGGTGGCATTAATCACGTGTGTCCCCCCCAAGAACTGCAAGCTGAAAGATGTTTAAACAAATACGTCCAATACTTAAACACACTCTGACATTTTCGCACGGCATCCTCAGGCGGTTAAAGCTGCAGAGGGGCAGCTGGGACCCTGGGACCGCAGGGACGGGCTGGTTCCCGCTGGGAAGGTGTCTGGGGATTTGCCATGTCCCGGGAAATAAGGTAGGGAATGACGGACAGGCCTTCTGAACGTGAAGGAGCAGCTGGAGGCTACTAATCTTCCCATGCAAGAGGGAAAGTATTGCTATAAATCGGGAATCTTTATAGCTGTTCGGCTGGAGGAAGTTTTTTGGCTGTAAACTGTCATGCACTGCAGCCCCCGCTGAAAAGACTGTGGAAGTGGGGAATCCTCTCTCCTGAGAACCAAAGTGCAATTAAGATCAGAAAGAGGGGGAAGGAAATAAAATAAAGACGACAGGAATCCAAGCTGAGGAAAGACTTCACGGTTTGGGTTTGTTGGATCTTTTGGAGAAGCTGTTAGGTTGTTTCTATTTTTATGTTTTTTACAACATTCCAAAGACTACACATTAACTCCTGGAATCTTTTTTTTTTTTTTTTTTTTTTTTTTTTCTTACAGTAATAAATAATAAAAAAGGGGGGA